GGAAGAAAATATTTTAAATGTCAGCAAATAGTTGTTGTTGCTGTTATGTGCCATCAAGTTGGACCCGACTCATAGTGACACCTCTTTGTGTTTCCGAGGTGGTATCACTACAGAAGTAGATTGCCCAACCTTCCTTCTGAGGAGTGGCTGGTGGGTAGCAAACAGTGGATCCCTCTAATGGGAGATTTTCTTTTCCTTAAAGAGCAGAGAGGAGAAAGGCCACCAATCTGAGACCTCCTGTAATGGATTACATTTTGTTCCCAAAAAAGCTCTGTTGAAGTCCTAACTCCTGTTCCTGTAAATAAGACCCTAATGAGGCCTTCTGCTGATAACCAAAAGGTCAGTGTTTCAAATCTCTGTGGGAGAAAGATGAAGCAGACTGCTTCCTTAAAGATTTATAGTCTGGGAAACCCTCTGGGGCAGTTTGCTCTATCCTATAGGGTCGCTAGGAATCGGAGTCAACTCACTGACAGGAGGTTTGGTTTTTTGGTTTTGGAAATATAAGTTTTTGTTTGGTATGTTAATGAGGTCATACTGGAGTCAGAGGAGCTCGGTGGCATAGTACATAAGGCATCTGACTGCTAACCAGAAGGCTGATGGTTCAAATCCACCAGCCACTCCTCAGAAAGAAGACTGGGTAATCTACTTCTGTAGAGATACCATCTCAGAAACCCAAGGAGGGGGGGTTATGAGTCGAATCAACTTGATGGCATTGAGTTTGGTTTGGTTTTTTTGGACTGGAGTCGGGTGGGTCCTAATCTAATACCTTCTGAATGCTGTTTTATAGAAAGGCCTGAATAGATGGACACACACACACACACACACACACACACACACACACGGAAGGGATCATGTGAGGAGCCATCGATAAGCAAAGGAATGCTAAGGAACGCCCCAGGCTACCAACAAGGAGGGGCCTCTCCTAGAGTCAATACTCTGGTTTAGACTTCTAACCTCTAGAACTCTGGTAGTGTAGTGCCTAAGGCTCTTGACTGCTAACCAAGAGGCTGGTGGTTCAAACCCACCAGCCACTCCTCAGAAGGAAGATGGGGCAATCTACTTCCATAGTGATACTGCATCGGAAACCCAAAGAGGGGTCTCTATGAGACTCGCCTCCAGAACTACGAGAAAATGAATTTTGGCTCTTAAAGCTACCTACCTGTGATATTTTTGTTACCGCTGCACTAGGAAACTAAGAAACCTCCTGATAGCCACATGCCTCCAAACTAGCTGAGCTCCAATCCTGATCTCTTCCATAACCCCCCAAGAAAATGGCACTCTTATATTAGGTTAGTTCTGCCTAGTTGATGATGTCAAGGTGAAACAAAGGTCCATGCCAGTATTTAGAAGAAAATCAAGCCAACACAGAAATCAGCACCAACAAGCTTTTTAGAAAAAGGAGAGTGCTGGAACGGGGCCCAGGTTTTATTGACAGAATGCTGGGTCAGCCGAGTTCTGCTGAAGCACGCAGCCAGGCCCGTCCAAGGCAAACACAGCAGCTGGCCCAGCCAGCCTCCTGAGCAAACCGCCTTGGGCTTTTTGCTAACTGTGGGCTGCTCAGCACCCACGCGGGATTGAGGCTTCTTCCTCTGTGGTATGTCAGTGGGGGTTCTGCTCTAGCCCTAGCCCTGATAAAGCCTGCCAGGGGTTCCAATGTCAACTCTTCTCCCCAGCAGTGCCAAGGGGGCCATGCAGCTTTCAAACACTCAAATTTGAAAGCACCTTGTGTTAGTTTCCCAGGGCTGCTGTCACAAAAGACCACAGACTGATAGATCAAAACAATTGTCTCTCTGTCTACCTCTTCACAGGGCCATCTTCCCTCTGTATCTCTGTCTCTGTGTCTCTTCTCTTTTCATAAGGACACCATGCATGTTGGATTAAGACTCACTGTATTCCTGTAGAAAGTCTCTGGGTGGTACAAATGGTTGACGTGCTCAGCTGAGGTCAAGGTTCAGAGGTCCTCAGAAGAAAGGCCTGGCAATCTACTTCTGAAAGACCACAGTCCTTGAAAAGCCCATTGAGTCCAGTTCTACTCTGATACACATGGGGTTGTCATGGTTTGCAATCAACTCAACAGCATCTGGTTCTACTCGAGTATGACCTCTTGTTACCCAATAACATTAAAGACTCTATTTCCAAACAAGGTCATGTTCATAGGTGCTGTTGCTGTTGTTGTTATGTGCCACTGAGTCGGCCCTGACTCATAGCGACCCCTCCTTGGGTTTCCGAGGCAGTATCACTATGGAAGTGGGATATCTTTTGGGGGGGCTGTATCTGGTGGCGTAGTGCCTAAGGCATTTGACTGCTAACCAGAAGGCTAGTGGTTCAACCCTACCAGCCACTCCTCGAAATGAAGGTTGGGCAATCTACTTCCGTAGTGATACCGCCTCAGAAACCAAAGGAGTGATCACTATGAGTCGGATCCGACTCGACGGCAGAGAGTTTGTTTTTTTTTTTTTTTTTTTCCCAGCTATTCTATCCATAACATACCTCTTCACTGCTCACATTCTGAGTGTCAGACACTGTCTATAACAGAGCTCAGGCCCTGAACCTGGGGCCTTTTCCCCACTACACTTGGGAGCTGGCTAAACTGATCTAGAACAGCAGGATCCCAGTCTTGACATGACTGATATTTTGAGTCTTTGTTGTGGGGGACTGTCCTTTGTATTGTGGGATGTTTAGCAGCATTCTTGGCCTCTACCTACTGGATAAAGAGAGCTCTGGTGGTGTAGTGCCTAAGGCATTTGACTGCTAATCAGAAGGTTGGTGGTTCAAACCCACCAGCCACTCCACAGAAGGAAAATAGGGCAATCTACATCCGTAAAGATTTACCGCCTCAGAAACCCAGTGGAGGTCACTATGAGTTGGAATTGACTCGAAGGCAGTGAGTTTGGTTTTGGTTTGCCCCATTAAATGCTTGGAGCATTCTTCCAGTTGTGAAAAAACAAAAGTATCTCCAGATATTGTATTGCCAAATGTCCCCTTGGAGACAAAATCACCTCTAGTTGAGACTTGCTGTTCTAGAAGAAGGAACAGAGAGAGACAGACAAACAGAGACCGACAGAGAGAGAGAGCCCAAGGGAAGATGCAGGGAAAATGGGGGGAACAGGGCTCCAGGACAGGGTAGATAGGGTTAAGGAATACAGAATGAAGAGAGAGACTTGGCTCCCCAAGGGAAAAGAAAGTTGAGGAAATAAAAAGAGTTGTTTAAATAAGATTTTCAGGAAGTTTTGCTGTATGGTGCTCTATGGGACCTCCTTGCTCTATCTTCTAAGGAAACTGTTAGCAGAAATCTATACCAGTCATTGGTTACATGGGGTCAGATTTGTCTTCCCTCCTTTCCCTACCCCTCACCCTGGATGGACAGGTTCGAAAGCTAGGTCTTCCCAAGAGGCCTGGTTAGCTCAGGTGGCACCCAAGCCAATTCCCATTCTAAAGTCTGAGGAAGATGTACAGATATTTTAAAATAATGAGTTTTAAAACCAAGTTGACATCCTTATAAGAGCTTGCATCATACCTGCTTTCCAGTAGTGGTTTCCTGCAGAGGAAAAAGGGCATGGGGGCTGACAACACCCATAGGCAGGTCAAGAATTTGAGTATCTTTGATAAAGGTCAGAAAAAGCCTTGAATGGCTACTCTGAGGACCTGGGGCTCGATCCCATTCAGGAAATAATCAGTCATCCAACATCCAGGGGCCTCGTTATTGTCTCTCACAACACCCTGGAATTTTCCCTCATAAACATGGTGTTTCTTTGTTTAAAGTCTCGCTCTCCTACTGTAAGCACAGGAAGGGCCAGGTCCCATGTCTGTTCCTTTCATCACTAAGCCCCAAGCATTCCTGAGCCTGGCACATGGTTACTCAATATATTTGTTAAATGAGTAAATGAATGATGTCATAGGACATTCCTTACTTCTTTGACTGGCAACCTTTGGCTCACATATTAAGGCCTGGTGCATACATCACCTCCTCTGGGAAGCCTTCCTTATTTCTCCATGCAGAAACACTCACTCACATAACCAGAATGCCTGGTTCATGTGTTTATCGCAACTTGGCATCACAGTATAGACTGGTTGGTTATATTCTGACTTCCTAGCCAGAATAAAGATCTCTGAGGACAAGACCTCTGATGTATCATTTATTATCCATCCCCTACCACTATATGTCTGGCATATAGCTGAAAAAAAAAAAAAATTTATCCAATGTTGTTGTTGTTATATGTCGTCGAGTTGGCCCCGACTCATAGCGACCCCTCCTTGGGTTTCCGAGGCAGTATCACTACTGAAGTAGGATTGCCCAACCTTCCTTCTGAGGAGTGGCTGGTGGGTTTGAACCGCCAGCCTTCTGGTTAGCTGTTAAGTGCCTTAGGCACTATGCTACCAGAGCTCCTATGTAGGAATCAGTAAATGCATATTTCTGTCTCCATTCCAAATCCTAGGCATCAAATTTCAGATACATCATGGTCAATTGCCTTGGCAAAACCCAATACCAAGAGCTGCTTTGGGCATCAATTTCCTGGTCCTTTAAAACAGGGAAAGCGTTCGCCAGCCCCTCTGAAGGCTGATCTGGCCTGGCGGCTGACTGGCAAGCAGGACAATGTGCTTCAGAGGCCTCAGTCCCATGGTCCCCACAGTCCCAGGGTTAATTCCTGTCAAGTGCCAGGCTGTAGCCCCACAGAACCTTCAGGTAGTCTTTTCTGGGACCTCTCTCACCTACACCACCACTCCGGTTCAAGGCCCTAGGCTAAAGCACACTCTGCCTTGGCGGAGAATGCAGGGTACTTCTGAACATTTACAGACTTCATGTCACTACCTCTGATTTGCCTTCCAGTCCTATGAAAAGGTGTGTATCTTGAATCCCACCTGGCCACAGGGGGCCCCAACATCCAGCAGCCATAGAACCCATGCCACCTCCTGCTCACCAGAGCTCCTAAGAGAGACAGTGGGGCTCAGCACACTTGCAGAGGCTATTCCCAGCCCAGCCTGAGAGCTTTGCTGCCTACCTGGTGGAAGATGGGGGTGAGGGTACTCTCCGGAGAAGGTCTGTCCTGGGCTGGGCCTTCCTGCTGACTGCAGTCCAGCTGGATCAGGTTGCGGCACTCAGGGTGGCAGGTGAACTTACAGTCTGCAGGGAAAGAACCAAAGGGGTTTAGGGGCCCAGCCAACTTTCCACACACTACCACCGAGAGATGGAACCTGGAATACTGCTTAGCCTGGAGGCAAGAGCAGTACAGGAGAGAAGTGAGGGGATGGTGGTTATTTCCTGAAAGTACACCATGAGTACACACCCACTGTCAGCACAGCCACCGATGGTGACAGCTAACAAGTGCTATCAAAAACTAAACCAAACTCACTGCCATTGAGTCGCTTCCGACTAAGAGCAACTCCACTGGGTTTCAGAGGCGGTAAATCTTTATGGAAGTAGATTGTCCCATCTTCCTTTCATGGAGCTGCTGGTGGGTTTGAACTGCCAACATTCTGGTTAGCAGTCAAATGCCTTAGGCACTGCACCACCAGACTGCTTTCACCTACATTATTTTATGTGACCCTGCAGTAATTATTAGTGCCACTTCACAGATAGGAAATTGGGGCCCAGGGAATTTAGTGACCTCCTCAAGGTTAGATCAACTTGCCCCACTCTGGTGTTCTTTCTGCTAATTTGCATTCATCACCTGGACTATGGATCTCTGGGGAAAGATTTGACTTCCCTGGGCCTCCTTTTGCCAATTTGTAAAATATAGGTAATACCTGTCCTGCCAGTTGCACAAGGATGTTTATTATTATAGAGGAGGGTATGTCCTGAAAAATTAGAGTTTGGAGACAAAGAGAGCTCTGGTAGTGTAGTGCCTAAGGCATTTGACTGCTAACCAGAAGGCTGGCGGTTCAAACCTACCAGCCACTCCTCGGAAGGAAGGTTGGGCAATCTAGTTCTGTAGTGATACCACCTCGGAAACCCAAGGAGGGGTTGCTATGAGTCAGATCCAACTCAACGCCAGCGCATTTGGTTTGGTTTGGCTGGAGACAAGGGCACCATCATGAGCCAGGAAGGCTATCACTTCCCTCTGGCCATGCCTCATCTAGAGAGGTGGGGATGGCTAGTCTACCCAAGTTGGAATGGCCTATAGACAACATCCCAAATCAGGTGGTTCAGAGGAAAAGAGTGCACATTTCATAGGTTCACTTCCATGGTATGAGAGACTAAAACACTTGGCTGGAAAGATGGGGTAATGACCAGGCTTACAAGTGAGGTAACTGAGGCCCAGAGGGGTAAAGTGAGGTGTCTAATGACACAGCTCATCAGTGGCAGGGCCCACGTTGATAAATATTTCTCAGCTCTCTCAAGGGCTCCATTGGCAGGAAGGAGGTGAAGTCAAGAGAGGAGACAGCGGGTACAGCCAGGCAAGGGGAGGGGAGTAAAAAAAAAAGGTGGCCTAGTGGAAATCGGTACAAGTCCATCAGCAGGCTAAATGCTCAGATTGGGGTGTGGCTCCCACACAGAGCTGTTGGGTCAGTGGCATTCCCCCATCCAGCAGGTGCCATGGCTCAGCCAGAAGGCCCAGCACAGGGAAGGGTTCAAGTCCCTGATGAGAAGGTTGCTTTCCTGATTGTAAATCAGATGTAGGGGGACAGCTGGGGCAGGCGTGCTTTGTGGAGGGGGACGCAGCCACTTGGCCTTGCTTAGAGAACCAGGGGATTAAAGAATTACCAAAATGTGCAAAGACCTGGAGTTAGAAAACCAAAGGGGAAAAGCACACTTGGCATTTCTCAAGCTGAAAGAAATGAGGAAAAAAATTTAAGCCTTGAGTTGCAATATTGAAAGATTCTATGGGCAAAATGTTGAATGATGCAGGAAGCATCAAAAGAAGATGGAAGGAATACACAGAGTCACTGTACCAAAAAGAACTGGCCGATCCTCATCCATTTCAGGAAGTGGCATATGTTCAAGAACCAATGATACTGAAGGAAGAAGTCGAAGCTGCACTGAAGGAATTGGTGAAGAACAAGGCTCCAGGAATTGATGGAATACTCACTGAGATGTTTCAACAAACGGATGTCCCACTGGAGGCACTCACTCGGTTATGCCAAAAAATCTGGAAGACAGCTACCTGGCCAACTGACTGGAAGAGAGCCATATTTGTACCCATTCCAAAGAAAGGTGATCCCACAGAATGTGGAAATTATCGAACAATAGCATTAATATTGCATGCAAGTAAAATCTTACTAAAGATAATTCAAACACAGTTGCAGCAGTATATTGACAGAGAACTTCCAGAGGTGCAGGCTGGATTCAGAAGATGTAGAAGAAGGAATATCATTGCTGATATCAGATGGATCTTGGCTCAAAGCAAAGAATACCAGAAAGATGTTTACTTGTGTTTTACTGACTATGTAAAAGTATTTGATTGTGTGGATCATAACAAATTGTGGATAACATTGAGAAGAATGGGAATACCAGAACACTTAATTGTACTCATGGGGAACCTGTACATAGACCAGGAGGCTGTCATTCGAACAGAACAAGGGGACACTGCATCGTTTAAAATCAAGAAGGAAGTATGTCAAGGTTGTAGCCTTTCACCATACTTATTCAATCTATATGCTGAGCAAATATTCCAAGAAGCTGGACTATATGAAGAAGAATATGGCATCAGGATTGGAGGAAGGCTCATCAACAACCTGCGATATGCTGATGACACAACTTTGCTCGCTGAAAGTGAGGATTACTTGAAACGCTTACTGATGAAGATTGAAAAATACAGTCTGCAGTATGGATTACATCTCAATATAAAGAAAACAAAAATCCTCACAACTGGACCTATAAGCAGCATCACGATAAATGGAGAAAAGATTGAAGTTGTCAAAGACTTCACATTGCTTGGTTCTACAACTGACGCCAATGGAAACAGCAGTCAGGACATCAGATGACGTATAGCACTGGGCAAGTCAGCTGCAAAGGACCTCTTTCAAGTGCTGAGCATCAAAGACATCTCCTTGAGGACTAAAGTGCAACTGACACAAGCCATGATAATTTCAATTGCCTCATATGCATGTGAGAGATGGACAATGAATAAGGAAGACCAAAGAAGAATTGATGCTTTTGAGATGTGGTGCTGGTGAAGAATGCTGAAGGTACCACAGACTGCTAAAAGAACTAACAAATATGTCCCCGAGGAAGTGCAGACAGAATGTTCCTTGGAAGTGAGAATGGCCAGACTTTGTCTCACCTACTTTGGTCATGTTGTTAGAAGGGACCATTTCCTGGAGAAGGATGTCATGCCTGGTAAGGTGCATGAAAGAAGGAAAGGCCCTCAATGAGATGGATTGACACAATGGCTGCGGTGATGGGCTCAAGTATAGCAGGGATTGTGGAGCTGGCGTGGGACCGGGCAGTGTTTTGTTCTGCTGTGCATTTATCCTTCTGAGTTGCTTTGTCAATCTGATCACATATAGATACTCCTTTAAAAGAGTATAATGCTTAATGCAGACATTCTTTTCTAATTAGGCTAAACTATTATTTAGCTCAAAGATGATTTCAGGGGAATAGTTTCAGTTCAAGGTTAAAGATTTCCTCAGGGCAATAGTTTCAAGGGGGGTCATCCGGCCTTAATGGCCTCAGAAAGTCTGGAGTCCATGAGAATCTGAAATTCTATTCTGGATTTTCCCCTTCTCATTGGGATTCTTCTACAGACTCCTTGATCTAAACATCCAGCATTGGTAGCCAGGCACCATTTAGTTTTGGTCTCATAGCTAAAGAGGCAGTTTCTGGAGTGGTATTTAGAAACTCCCCTGCTTATCTCCTTCATACCTGAAGGAAAGGCCCACAAATGTCCCTTCTTCAGACCTCACCTTTCTCCTGGCTTAACCAACCCCTCTTTAGAGGCCCTTCCTCTCAGAAGACAGAATGGATGAGGCAATTCTCTGAGGTATGGATCATTTACCTGGAGGCATCCAAGTGCATTCTGGGCCCAGGGTGGGGGATCTCCTGCCCAGCACACTCATGGCCTCCACCATGGCCCCACCTCCCACACCCTTAACCAAAGTGAAGGGCATGGAGGCTTGTGTGCAGGCCCAGTCTCCCCTGCCTGTGGTGCCAGAATGTGGGGGGGGGGGGTTGATAAGGTAGCAGCAAGGCCAGAGCCCACAAAGAGCAGCATTGTTTCTGCTCTGCCCCAGGGCACACCTGTGCGGCAGACCACAGCGAGGAAGAATGCTCTGGGAATGCCAAGAGGTGGGAACAAGGAAAGGGAGGAAGAATTGGCAACTCTCCCCACTCTAAGCAGAGTGACCAGCTCCAAGTGGGGGAACATCTTGGGAGAGGAGGAAGTTCTCTCCCCACTCCCTGCCTCTTTAAGCCTCTGTGCTGCAGACAAGGAAGTCTTCGCCCATCTCCGTATCTGCATTTCCCTCAGTTCCCTTCTATCCCTGCCTCTCTTTCTCTCTCTCCGACATCTTCCTCTGTGTCTTTTTCTCTCTGTGTCTCTATCTTTCTGTCTCCGTCTCTCCTCTCTTTCTGTGCCTCTCTCTTTCTATGTCTGTTTCTCATCTCCCTCTGTCTGTATCTACCTCTCCCTCACTCTCTCTCTCTCTGTCTCTTTCTTTCTTTGCCTCCTCCCCTCTTTTGTGCACATGTGTGCCCCCTATATACACACACACATACATCCACAATCTGGAAACAGTACCAAAACCTCAGGAAGATCTTTTTACAAGCTTGATGCTGAGCTGGACAGAGCCAGGGAACAGACGACTCACAGAGGAATGTTGCAGGATTTTATAAATAGCTCATCTGAGCACTGATGACTTTATTCCATCAGACCATGTAATCACAGACTGTAGCAGAACTGCTGAAGCACATTCGGATGCTTCCTGGCTCCAGAGAATGCCAAGCTGGACTGAGACCAGCAGAGATGAAGTCAGACCCCTTGCCCTTCTCCAAACACATACACAGGGCCACTGCCCACAGCCAGAGCCTGATGCTTTATGAGTAAAGATACCCATGAAATTCCAGAGACACAGAGTATTTGGCTGGGACTGAGGGGTTCAGTCCCACAGACTACTTTTTCACAGGGCAGCTCATCACTGAGTGCTGTGTTTGTCCAAACCACCCCATGCCCTTGGTATTCAACC